TTAATAAGAGTGTAGAGCTGTTGCTAATGTTAGCTATATACCTAAAAGTAGTGACGTAGTGATAGCTTGCATTACGTTTAGCTTGCTGCACTAACTGCAGCCTTCCGTATATATATATATATATATATATATATATATATATATATATATATATATATATATATATACCACAAAACATATGCACAATATGTAAGACATACACTTTTATGTCTTTAACTGTGGTGAAACTCTCCCACACACCACACATACATACACACAAACACACACACACACACACACACCTACACACACACACACACACACACACACACACACACACACATTCTCTTCTCAGCTGTTAGAATTTGAAGCAGTGTCAGGGAGTATCTTCTCCCACGTCTCTCATAGCTGTTGGGGGCAGAAGTGTTTATACCCAACAAATGTTTACCTGGAAGCTTGCCTGGGTGTGTTGGGATGCCGAATATTTATGAGAATCGTGTTACAGTGTCATAGTGCATTACAATGTCTGTGTTTGTGTGTGTGTGTGTGTATATATATATATATATATATATATATATATATATATATATATATATACACATACAATGTTATGAAACTTAACACTCTAAACTACCTTTAAGCTATTATACAAGCTTATAATTAGCCATTATAAGGTATTATATATCCCATAAAACACCTCATAAATGCATTTATAAATACAGTATGCAAAGAAAGTGTTATCACATTTCCTATTTTCCATTTAAAAGCCAATTAAAAAAATCTCAGTTCACTTAAAGTCTGTAAACATAACGCATTGCCAAACCTGACTTCATAAAGTTTAATGCACTTGGTTTATAATGATATAATATGCATGTAACTACATGGGAGGCTTATAATAACTTATACAGGTTTATGTCAGGCATTATAAGGTATTTATATCTTAGGTATATATAATATATATAATGCATTATAGTTGCATATATAATGTATTATGAATACAGGATGCATAAGGAGTGTTACTAAATTTATTTTATTACTTGGTTATTGTTATTAACAGCTGTTTTGAATAATGCCCTGTTGTGGCAGTATGTAGATCAGTTTGTGTGAAAATAATTGCCAGGTTTCAAGGGTTAAAAAGGGGATGGTATTCATAGTAGTAACACACAGCACACTGTACATGATAAACAGTGTATACTAACCCTCATGGCCAATGTAAGTTGAACTGGTGAAAGAGGACATGTTTATGTAGTTAAAAATTCTTCTCATTATTTTTTACACTATTTGAAAACCCCAGCTGTCCTTTACATTGTGTGGGTATTTCATGACGAATGGACCAACACAAAAGCTCTATTTATTAACAATAAAAATTTACCTTTAAAGTTAATGTTTATTCCATCTCCTATAAAGTTATCGTTTTGGAGATACAAGGTTTTGTTCTGACACTGTAGATAGGCAGTAGCAGCCGTTCTGTGTGCAGTGTGTGTGTGTTTGTGTGTGTGTGTGCAGCAGTGAGTGTGTTAGGTCACCCTGACGGCTCTGGAGTCTCTCCTAAAGGAAACCGCACCGCCGTCCAGCGCGAAGACCGCATGGGTTCCTCTCTGCCCTTGAGAAATGTGCAGACACACAGCAGATAATGTTCCTGACACCAGAAACTGAAAACCATCAGGAACGCGCTCCTCTGCCCTTCTCTGTCTGAGCCAAGACCAGCAACAACACATACAGCAAAGACAGAGTGCACCCATACATACCTGCAATGTACTGAATATATATATATATATATATATATATATATATGTGTGTGTGTGTGTGTGTGTGTGTGTATGTGTGTGATGTATTTATATATTGAAAATGTACATTTTAGAATATTCTGACAAAACATTTAATTCATGCATACTTGCACTTTATGTATTTTTTAATGTTAATTACACTGTTATTAAATGATAGCTAACCTGCAATTACCGTATTAGCCACCTTTAACCTCATGTATTTAAAAAGAGTATATATATTTGAACATATAAGCAATAGGAATATATAGCTATTTTGTTACTGTTAATAAAATGAATTTGTATTAGATATCAGTGCTCAGTCACTCACAATCCAAATGCACATGCATGGAGAAGCAGCTGTGCATTTACGGGGTTAAAGATATCTCCTCTACTTTTCACTCTGCTCTGCTTTGCTTACACATTGCTACATTGAGTTTATAAGCTGTAAACACTTAACGAAACCACCAACTATTTCCTATTGCTTTTGACAATTAAGCTACGTAAATGTATGAAATGGAAAATGTGCTCTCGCTGATCCAACTGATGTCACATGGACAGTTACCCTACTGTTACGGGCTGCATAATGCACTTTGGATGATATTCACCTTTACTGTAGATAAATAAGCACATATTGCTCTATCAGAGTCATTTCTGCTTTTCACTCATATAACGGTATTTGTCCACTACCAGCAGTAACAAAACATGACATGGCGGGTGTAAAACCGATCAGGTTTTCGGCTTAGAGTGGGCATTCGTATATATGCTAATGTGGCTAATAAAGAATGGCATCTAAACTAGTAACCACAAGTTAGTATGATGTGGCTATCCACTTGAATTTACTGTTAGCAATGTTAGCATTAAATTTAGCTGTAAAGGCCATATTCTTGTGCACGTGCAAAATTGGTGTGATATCCAGATATTGTGGTGAAAAAGCTAAATTAGTTCCAGCTATGCTGCTTTATTTGACATAAAACCAGCCCCACAAGACAAAAACAATACATATCTATTATATTACACTGTAAACCCTGATTAGGTTCACATAACTTCTTACATGTCAAATTAACTGAAACGTGTTTCTGTAACTATAATTCTCACTATTTTAATTAGATTTTTTGAGACAATCCTAAAATCTCAATTTGTCTATGTGTTAATGGTTTGTTTTGTATTTAATATTGACCATCTTGCCAAATACTGATGATTCAAGCCTCAGTGAAATGTGGCCATTGTACTACTTAACCAGCATAGAACCCAGACTCAACAGCAGGGAAAATACTAACTCGCCTTTTTAGCCAACAACATTTTGATTCGACTCAAAAATGCTATTTGAACGTACAAATTCATCAAAGTGCTCATAACTTGAATATATGTGGGATATATTCAATTTGTGGGATATATTCAGTTTTATGTACTGTGCACATTATAGATGCTTAGAAAAAGTCTCACATTCAGGCTCAAATGTCAACAATCACCTGCTTTTATAAACTGACCGCATGTGCTGGCTGCAATTTCTGCACAAACTAGCAGGTACAGGACATTTCCCTTTGAAATTCGCTTAAGTTAGAGTCAATCTATTCCAGCTTCAAACTCACCTGAGACAGGTAAGGAAGGTCAAAAGGTGCTGCTGACCTGCCCCGGGTGACTTGATACTCCTCAAATGTCTCTTAAAACTGGACTACACATATCAGAGCTGAATCAGCGCATGAAAAATGTAGCAGACCCAGCCTAGGACAGTCAATTTGTCCATAAGCTTCTTACCATAAGTGTTAATGTGCACCCAGTATAAAGATGAATGAAACCACCAAATACCAAAGAAATGCCATTTCAATGACTTTAATAAGCAAAATAGGAAACCATTTCTTCCAAAAACAACAAAAAATAAGACAAAACAGAAACCAGCCTGAATGGAACAGTCCAAATTTAACTTTTTTTTTTCTCATTTATATAAACAGGATTGAAAATTGATCCCCATAATGCATGAAATGAACTAACCAGAGAACAACAACACCGCTGCTGCAGTTTCGCTTTGATTTCAACACAGTTGAATCAGTAACAAACCAAAAGATTGTTTAAATGCATGACGTTTTTTTCTCTTTTTTAACAATAATTCTTAAATGCAAGCACCATGCTTATTCAATATGATCTGACAGTTTGTTAATTTAATCATTAAAAATAAAACCATAACTATGCATCTGGCCAGCAGAACCAGAATCTCGAGAAACATAATAATAAACAGAAAAAAACATAACATATGACATACATATTCATTTGCAATTGAGATTTTTCTTGCAAAACCTGAATCCCTCTTTTTTTACTGACCGGCAGAAAAAAATAAAGGAAAACATTTAAAACAAAAAGAGGACAAAAGTGATCGCTTATACTTTCTACTGAAACTCATGCGCAGTTTCCGTATTGAAGCAATTGAACCCAGAACCCCTTAATTTCAAATGCCCTCCTAAGTATGATGTTAATTGATTCGATACAATTGATTTTTACCCCCAAAATAATAGTGTTCAGTACATGAAACCGGCGGGAAAACAAAGCGAGCTGATAAAAGAAAAACTTGCGTAAAAGTGTGTGATTAACTCCTAGCAGTAAAATGATGCGACCTATGGGTCTAGATATTGGTCAGATTATATATGGATTATGCAAATGTGCTTCTTTGCTGCCAGACACGAAGCAAATGAAATGAAAGCGCACAAAACAGAGCTGCTATAGCGTGTTGCGCATGGGTCCACGGTGCAAGACGCATGGCACATAAAGAATGGCGCAGGACATATGGTGCACAACGCATGGGTCTGTGGAATGTGACGCATGGTACCTAGCGCACTGCACGTAACGTATGCCACATAGCGACTGGCACCGTGGCACATAACGTATAATGCAGTACGCATGGCGCATAAGGTATAGCGCATGTTTCCATGGCACATTACTCAAGGCTCCATAGCGCAACGGCTGCCTAACCCGTGACCTATACGACATTCGCGCGCTCCTCAAGGGCTCTAACTGCGTGTATTTGAACGCAACTTCCCTCGAACCACGCGGCCTAGTGGATTAGAGCGCGCTGCTTTTACGCACTGCGTACTCTCGCGTGTATGAGTGTGCGCGCCTGTTACGTCTTCCTTGAGGGCGGTCTGCAAAAAAATAAAAGAAAAGAGGAAAAAAAACCCTCAAAAATGAAAATCACTATCAAAAAAGTGCACTTAATATACAAAGTTTGTTAGATGCAACTGCAAAAATGCCCGTTTGCAGAAATCAATCCAAATCCAACGAAAGCATCAAAAACAATCAATTCCTTGATTTTTTCTTCTGTTTAAAATTTAGTTGTGTATGTTTTTGCTGTTTTCTTTTGCTGTTGCATGTATTTACAAGCCCAAAACGAACCCCCAAAACAGTCCTGATATGGGTCACCAGTTCATCTCTCTTAAAGTCCGAGAAACAGCAATGAGGAAAGCTCAAGATCAACAACATGCTATTTAAGATACACGAAGAGAGAAAGAGAGGATAAAAGACAAAAAAAGAGAAAGTACAAAATAGAAATTATTACCATACATGTCCAGCATGCAGGATTAATATTTTAATGCAGATTGTTTGTTTGTTTTGTTTTCTTTTTATATATATATTTATATATCTTTCTATAACCAAGCAGGCAATAACCCAAAATGAGATGTTGCATAAAGGAACCCCCTGAAGGTTTTGCATAATGACAAAGTCTGACTTTTAGGGCCAAGAGGGAAAAAAAAAACAACAAATACGAGTCCAAAGTCTCCTCTCAGCATAAATATTGTGTCATAAGAGGGTTTTTTCCTGAACAACAGAGGCCAAATTTGCAGAAAAGGACGATCTGATCCAGTGAAAATAAACGCTAATAATAATGCAATAATAAAGAGTGAACACTGGATAGGTTAGTTGTGATCAGACTCTTTGAGAAAAAGGGGGGAGATGATCTCAACTGAAGCTACAGAGAGTTTGAGTTCTTAAAAAAAGAAAAACAAAGAAACACAAACTTATGAAGATGCATCTTCTAAATTAAAGAAATGAAAACAAACTGTAGCTACGAAGATCAGACAGAGCAAGCTCTTCTGATTTGTTTACAACAAATAAACAAACAAACAGAACAAGTGGCGAAGATGCTGCTGCATCTCTGCTTTTAAAAAAAACAAACGAACAAACAAAAACTTAAACAAAAGACCCTCAAAACTCTTTGATCTTTGTTTTGGAGTTGCCAGGTATAGAGCTGATTAACATACTATCATCATTATTATCGTCACTCCTCTACTATTGATATAGATCAGCTGCGTTATTATCATTATTATTATTATTATTATTATTATTATTGTTGTTGTTGTTGTTGCTATTATTATTCGAGTCATTGGATGGATAATGGACCATCATAATGATCTTCAGCACTCACATGAAGAACTCAGGTGAGGACGGGTTGTCGCTGGTGGATCCAGCTTCTCTGAAGCCGTTCAGGCATCTTCCTCCTCCTCCTCCTCTTCCTCCGCCGTCTCCTCCACCGCTCAGCTTCTCGCACTTGAGCTTGTAGGCGTCCCTCTCGCGTGCCAGCCTTCCCACCTCCTGCTTGAGCTGCTCGACCTGCTGCAGCAGCTGGTTCTTCTCGTGCTCGAGCACGTGCTTCTGCTGCACGCGCTTGAAGCGGCAGGACTGCGCGTAGCCGCGGTTCTTCAGCGTCCTGCGCTTCTGCTTCAGCCGGATCACCTCGTCCTTGGAGAAGCCGCGCAGGTGCCGGTTGAGCTCGCGCACGGACATGGACACGAGCTGCTCGTCCGAGAAGCGCTCATCCACGCCGCTGCCGCCGCCTCCGCCGCCGTGATGGCTGTGGCCGCTACCGTGGTGGTGATGGTGGTGGTGCTGATGATGCTGATGGTGGCGGTGGTGAAGCTGCTGCTGCTGTTGCTGCTGCTGATGATGTTGGTGCTCGTGCGCTCCTGGAGACGTCGGAGACGGGCTGCCGCTGTCCGGGTCCTGCGCGTTGACGAGCGCGTGCGAGTGCACCGGCAGCTCGTCTAGACCCATGACGTACTGATGAGGATGGGGAGGATGGTGGTGGTGATGAGGATGGTGAGGGTGATGATGGACAGCTCTGTAGCTCTCAAAGCCCGCGTGCTGCTGGAGTTGAAGTTGGAGTTGCTGCTGCTGTTGTTGTTGTTGCTGCTGCTGCTGCTGTTGGTGCACGTGCCCCACGGCACCAATCAGAGCCTCCACGGCATCCTCGGGACTCAAGCCGAGCGCGTGGGGGTCGATGTGGTGATGCTGCTGTTGCTGCTGTTGCTGATGCGCGTACCCGTTGGCTCCGGCAGCAGCGCCAGCGGAGCTCGCGCCCATCCAGTAGAGCTCCTCGAGGTGGCCCTTGTGCTCGGCCGGGCTGAAGCTGGGCGAGCTGGGCACCGAACTGCACGGCGTGCTCATGGGCGTGGACGACACGGAGCCCTGGGCCTGGGGCAGGCGCGTGCACGTGCGCGCGTTTCCGCCGCCGCCGTTATTGCCGGCGCCTCCGTTCACGAGTCCGGCGAGAGCCTCCTTCTTCACGTCAAACTTGAGCAGGTCGAATTCGCTCACGTAGTCCAGCGCGAGAGGGCTGGTGGGCAGCTCGCCCCCCGAGGACAGCTGCGTGGTCATCACACACACTCACTCACTCACTCAGGGCGCACGCACACTCAAAGGCGCACAGGCGCACGCGCACGGTTCTGTTCCCCTCTTTCTTTTCTTTTTTTTTTTTTTTCCTTCTTCTTTT